GTAGTTCAATAGGGTGCAAGACGTGACTTGGACGAAGGCGACGTGATGATCCGATGATCAACACCATAAGCAAGACCCTAGGAGCACAAGAGAAGACCCAAGATATCAAGCCAAAGTCTAAATTGTAGATAATTTCTTCCGAATATCGCCTTCAAAAATGACTCTCACATTCATGTGATGTCATCTTTCAAGTGGTATTTTGGATTCTAAAATCAATGCACATGTTTCCTACAAGTATTCCATACTTGTGTGCACAAATTTAGGGAGAGGTTACTCTACAAGTTGGATGCCTTGAGACTAACACCTTTTCAAGCTTATCATGTGTGTAGTAGTCTCATTGCAAGGAAAATGGAGTCCCCAGAGTTAAGCATCATACTTCAAATATCCACCACCTATTGCAAGTGGTAGAAATCAAATTGGTTTCCACATGTGGTATTTCTAAACTGATATCATCATGTTGATTTTATTTTGATATTTATATGCTTTCTTCATGCATTATATAGATTAAATTCCCTTGTGTAAAAATTTGCCAATTATGCATATGCTTTCCCTTCTACCATATGTATGCATATATTTAGGGGGAGCTTAGTCTATATAATGTGAGAGTTAAATTTTGTGACCTATTCCACTCTACATACAAAGGATCACAAAGTTTGACCCTCCCTTGTGCAACTAATGTCTTCCTTTTCGGTGTTTGATTCCAAAGGGGGAGAATTTAGAGGACCAAAAGCAAGCATTAATTTATAGGACCAAAAGCTAGATCATAATAATTTACAAGTGGTAATGGTCTACAAGTGGTGTCTACAAGTGGTAATGGTCCAAGAAAGGGAGGATAGTGGATTATGGATTAGCCTATGCAATAGGGAGAATTTGTAGGAAGCAAGGCTTAAATCCATAATGCCACATGGGGACATTTGCAAGGGCAAGATAAGTTTTTATGTGGTATCCTTTAGTTTTACAAATAGTATCTTTTAGCATCATATAACCTTGCCCCTTGCATTGCATCCTAGCAAGTAGGTAGTGTTTTAAATTTCAAAATTCTATTATTTGCTTGCTTTGGTCGTGTTGTCATCAATCACCAAAAGGGGGAGATTGTAAGAAAAATGGACCCTAGGCCCATTTACATTGGATTTTGGTGTTTGATGACCACACAATCAAGTTGGACTAATGAATTTGCAAGTGATTGTTTTGTAGTTCAATAGGGTGCAAGACGTGACTTGGACGAAGGCGACGTGATGATCCGATGACCAACACCATAAACAAGACCCTAGGAGCACAAGAGAAGACCCAAGATATCAAGCAAAGTCTAAGCACGAAGATAGAAACCAAGCCGTACGCAAGTTCGTGAAGAAACAAGCTCACAGAGGTGACCGGGCGCTGGACCAGACGCTGGCGGGAAGCGACCAGATGCTCCGATCAAGAGGCTGGGCAACAGGTGTCAGCAGCAGCGACCGGACGCTGGCGGCAAATCGACTGGACGTAGAACAGCAGCGTCCGATCGAGTACAGAAAGGTTCTAGAGCGGCGAAATTGCGACCGGACGCGTCCGGTGGCATGTGACCAAACGCTGGCAGCGTCCGATCAGTGGATCGTGGCTCTAACGGTCGGGACGACTGGACGCTTCCGGTCAGGACGTGATCAGCGTCCAGTTAGTAGCAGAAAAGCGGGATTTCATCCCCAACGGCTACTTTCTTAGTGGAGCTTATAAATAGACCCCCCAACCGGCCATTTGATGAGAGTGGAGCTGAGGAAACATATCAAGGGTGTTGATACACCATTTTAGTGATCTCCACTTGCATAGTGGTTAGTGATTCATTAGGTGATTAGCGTAGATGCTTTGCGAAGGGCTTAGGTTGATTAGACCACCGCTTATGCGCTTGCTCTAGGTTTAGGCCTAGTGTTTAGTGAGATTTGCATACCTCTTACCACTCGGTGCTTGCGCGCATCATTGTTGTACATCGGTGGGGCTTGTAGTCTTACGAGATCACACCAACCGCGTTTGTAGTGTGGCCACCACCGTGTACCAGAGGGAACAAGGCCCGCGGCGTTTTGGCCGGAAGCTTGATAGTGAAGACGGCAGGGAGCATCCGGGAGAGGCTTGCCGGAAGGCACGTCGGAGACCCACTTGCGTGTGGGGAAGGCCCGAGACTATCCACGGAGTTACCCGACCAGGGGCTTGGCCCTTGCAAGGGATTCCTTGCAAAGGGCTCCAACGAGGACTAGGGGGGAGCTTGCGTGCTTCTCGATGCCTCGGTAAAAATACCAGAGTCGTCGATGGGAGTTTACATATCTCTACCTAGCTCTTTAGCTTCCGCATTTACATTAATTGTATTACTCCTTTTGCGGTAGAGATAGCAACACATTATCAAAATCATAGTTGCACCTTTAGATAGTTTATCTCTTGCATAGGTTTTGCTAAGGTTAGAAAAAGAGGCCATAGTTTAGAGTTAGAATTTTAAGTTGCCTAATTCACCCCCCTTTTAGGCGTCACGATCCCCTACAAGCCGGTTCGGAGCCACTTCACCGCGGTGCTGCTGCGCCTCCTACCGGGCTCTATGGACGCGGTCATCTTCCTCCTTCGACTTCTTCATCTTGCGGTGGTGCAGCTGGTCTCGGTTAGGGTCGATCTGCTTTGTCCCATACTAGATTTGCTACATCTTCTTCGGTGGCTCTTCTTCTCCGTCTTGAGCTTCTTCTAGTCACCATCGACTTCCCAGAGGTGAAATCCACCCCTAATCCCCTTTGCTTTGATTCTAGGGTTTGGTCTTGCCCTTTATTGGTTTCGATTTCTGCCTGTGGAATGATAGTTTGGGTCCATGATGCTGGTCTAGTTGCTATGAATGTTGATTTCGAGCACTGAAACATGTATATGCTCCATTGTTGGTACTTTGAACTGGTCAATGATGAATTTGTCCACTGCAGTTGAGGCAGTTTTGTTTATGCAGCCATTCTATTTATGTTTGTAGCGGCTTTTACTTTTTGTTGAAATGTTAGTTCTTTCATATGGTCGATGATGAATATGTCCAATGCACTAGAGGCATTTTTGTTATGCAGTCGTGCTATTTTATCTTGCTGTGAATGATTGCACTTTCATGTTGAGGCCATCCAGGGTCTACTAGAATTGAGATGTATGTATGAATGTTGAATGCACGTAGATGGATCCAACTGCACAGCATGAGATGATAGCCAAGCAAGCAGCTGCCATGGTTGTGGTTATGCTATCCTTTTTGGTCACTAGATCTTAGAAGAATAAGGGCCCAACTTGAGTCTGTACCTTATGGTCCTAGGTCTTTAAGCCATCAGCATAGGCTAGGAACCCTCCAAATGATATTCAATAGCACTGATGCTGAGTGTCTGGATATGTTGCATATGACCAGAGCTCCTTTTTTTTGCTCTATGCAACCTTTTCAGAGGTAGAGGCCTAGTTCTAAAAATTAGTGGGTGTTCTATTGAGGAGCAGGTTGCAATGTTCCTCCATGTGGTTAGTCACAACCAGAGGTTCAGGGTAGTTCATCAGTCATTTAGGAGGTCCATTGTGACAGTTAGTAGAGTCTTCCACCAAGTTCTTTATGCTATTGGTGAGCTTAAGACTAAAATGATCAAGCCTCCTACCACTGGCACACATCCAAAAATCATTGGTAGCCAGAGATGGTACCCTTATTTGTAGGTACATGTTATTCTTGTTTATCTACCTTAGGTTTAATCATCTATACATATGTGCACTTATCCACTATCCTTAACAATTTTTAGGACTGTGTTGGTGCCATTTATGGCACACATGTGTTGGCAAGGGTGCCTAGACACATACAACAGGCTTTCGGGGGTAGAAAACACAACCCCACACAAAATATGATGGCTGCTGTGGACTTTGACCTCAAGTTCACTTATATCCTAGCTGGTTGGGAGGGCTCTACCCATGATGCACTCATTCTTGCTAATGCAATTGACAGAAATGATGGGTTCATAGTTCCTGAAGGTAACTGAATTCATTAGTCCATACAATGTTGTCCTTTAACTTGCCACAAGCCTTCATTGTAGTATATGTTTTGGTCCACTTGTAGGGAAGTTTTACCTGGTAGATGCTGGCAATGCTTGCCACACCGGTTTACTCCCTCCCTATAGGGGGTGAGGTACCACTTGTCTGAATATAGGAGCCGCAATTATCCTACCAATGCCAAAGAACTGTTTAACCTAAGGCATTCATCCCTTAGGGTGACAGTGGAGAGAGCTTTTGGTGCATTGAAGAACAGATTTTGTGTCCTAGACAATAAACCATTCCACACATACAAGACACAAGTGAAGCTTGTATTGGCCTATTACATTCTCCATAATTGGATCATTAGGTTTGGCATTGATGAAGTAGTCCTAGAAGAGGAGGGATTCCTAGGCAGCCAGCCTGAGGCTGATAAAACCCAGCCTGTGGGAGACATGCTGTCTTAGGACTCCACGGCATGTCTAATAGGAGGGATAGCATTTGCAATGCCATGTGGGCTGGTAGAGGTACTACTGGGATTTGACTCATGCTTTCCATTCATGTATTATTTCAGTTTGTAGACCCTAGATATGGAACTCATGTAGTGTATTAATCATGTGTAATAACTGATGGACATGACTGAGACCTACTTGCTATCATTTTTATGATGATTCTGTTATCATGGACATAACTGAGACCTAACTGTTGTATATCTTCTATCTGTTGTTCATCATCTATGTCTTGTTCATCTTCTACCTATTCTTCATATACTATCTGTTGTTGATACTTGCCTTCATGTCATGTATGGTGACCTTATATAGGATGGCTGGGTTTGTGGTAGCTACCGACATGGCTGTTGTGGCTGGTGCTGGGCTAGCTAGGGCTGTGCTAGCTGGGGCTATTGCTGCACCTGAGGTGGTTGATGTGGGGGCTGATGCACCTGAGGTAGTGCCTACCCAGGGGGTGCTAGTGGTGCTAGGCCCCCCATGAGATGGAATAACAACACCTCTAGGTTTGTCCTTAGGAGAATGGCCCAGATAGTGTCTGATGGTAGTAGGACTGACAAGTGCTTCAAGGATAAGTATATGAACTATGTGGCAAAGGCTCGTAAGGAGTACTGTGGTGAAGCTATGAGCCATACTCAAGTGTACAATCACTTGAGGAAGTGGAGGCAGAAGTGGGCTAGGGTTGTGAAGTTGAAGGACCTTAGTGGTGCACTGTTTGATCATGATGTCAATGCCATAATGCTGGAATCTGAGCACTACCTAGGCCACTTCAAGGTACAAAATGAGTCAATTCACTGTTTCTCTTCTTCCCTGTTTCTCTTCTACCCACTGTTTCTCTCCTTCCCTGTTTATTTAATTAAGCACATATGACTGCAGGACCATCCTAAGGATGTTGAATTCCTCAACACCCCAATCAGGTTCTACACTGAGATGGAGACCATATTTGGTAGTTCTATGGCCACTGGTAGGTTTGCCCTAGGTTCTAGTGAGCCACTTGGGGTCAACCATGTTGATAGTGTTCTTTGCTAAGATAGAGGGCCATGCTTCACCTGCTGCTGCTTGATGTCAAAGGCAGCCACGAGATTGGTGAGGCAGCAAGGCTCTTGACCTCCGACTTCCATTGTTAGTAAAAAGGAAGAGGGAAATTTCAAAGTGAGAAAGAGATGCTTATGATGACTAACATGACAGATGATGTCAACAATGTGGCCAATGCAGTTAGAGAGACTAGGCCTATACATGTGGATCCTGACCTCTATCTTGCAGTCATGGAGATGCAAGGCTTTACTAATGAAGCTCTCATTGTTGTCTTCACCTACCTTTCGGAAAACAAGGCCTTTGTCAAGGGCTTTGTGAGCATGTCGACAACCATAGGGACATTTTACTGAGGAACTACCTAGCCAAGAACTACTATATGTAGTTCTATCCAACTTGGACATCAAGGCAAGCAGGGGTTGATTGTTGAGATGTATAGTTCCTCCACCTCCCTCACCCATTCTCTCTCTCTTTTTGGGCTCCATTTTAGTGTAGCTCCTATGCATGGTAGATGGTATCGACTAGCACTTGTCCTTTTGGGTTTGCATAGTTGGAGGGTGGCTAACTATATCTAACCAAGTGTAACTTGGTAGTTCACTTAAGTGCCTACTTGTTGTGGGCTGAACCTTTATTTGGAGATATACTTGATGTATTAATTAGTAACCTCTGTTGGTTACTGCTACTGCTACTATATTTGTCACTTTATGTTCCTGTTGCATTGTGAGGACTGTATTAGATTATGCTGTTCATGGGTGTCATTGAACCTATGGGACACATCCATTCCGCAGCAATAGCATGCTCATACCATGCTGATAGCAGTGAATGGATGTGCCCATGGATTTCATGGCCTTCATGATATTAGGAATGGCTGAAAGCTCTAGTTTGGTTTTGGATAATTGATGAAAGCTAACACTAACCTTTGTCATGAGTTGTGATATGAGCTAGGTTGGTGCAATCCAAGTGTTTGAGCAAGACGAGGTCCATGGTGATGAAGGTGGACATGAAATGATGATGATCAAGCTCAACTTGGAAAAGAAGAAAGAGAAAAACAAAAACCGAGATGATCAAGGCAAAGGTATAAGATAGGTTTTTGTTTTGCACTCAAGACACCATAGAGGATGTGAGTGATTTAGGATCGATAGCCGTATTATAAAGAGGGGAAATCTTTGGCTAAACGGTTTATCGAGTGCCACTAGGTGACATGACTTTTATATATGCATTTAGGAACCTAGTGTGCTAACTTTGACCCTTGTAAAATGCTTTGAAAAATGCTAACACACGTGCACACAAGTTCTACACTTTGTGGTTAGCAAGATTGAAAGCAAGGGTGAAGTGGTTGTGGACTTAGAAAAAGAGAAAGGAGAGAAAGTCCATGACCAGACGCTAGCCACGGGGTGACCGGACTCACCCCGACGCGTCCGGTCAATTATAGGCGACGGCGCTGCTCTGGTCGAGAGCAAGGTGGAAGGACCGGACACTGGCTCGGGACCGACCGGCGCATCCGGTCACTTGTTGAATGACGGCGAGTTCACCTAATCGGACACATAGGGGCAGCACCAGGTGAAGGGTGACGTACGCTGATGTCAGCTCGGCAGGCACGTGCGTAGACGCTAAGAGTTGACCGGACATTGGGGCGCATCAGGTCGACGTTTACCTGATGCGTCCGGTCAGTATTTTCGCACTCTGGTTACTCTCTGTAAATGACCAGACGCCGAGGGCTCGAGCGTTAGGTTGGCTTATGCGGTGCGTCCGGTCATGACTTAACCGCTGGGGATCAGATTCTAGCCGTTGAGATCGTGCGGTGGAGGTTGAATGGAGGAGACACGTGGACGGCGATGTTGGACCAGACGCTAGGCGCATGCGTCCAGTCACACCCATCTACGTGTCCGGTTGCCTCGTGAAAAGCAGCAGTGAGAGCCTAACGGCTCTATTCCTTTGGGGCGTCTATATATAGTGTTTGGCCGGCTTGGGGATGACTCTCTTGGCACTTTGACATACTTGACATCCTTGTGAGCCTAAGCAAACACTTCCCACTAATCTCTATCATTGATTCATCATCATAGTGAGATTGGGAGTGATTCCAAGTGTATTTGCTTGAGTGATTGCATCTAGTGTCACTTGGGGATCATTGTGGCTGCGGATTTCTTATTTCTCTTGGTGGTTGCCACCACCTAGATGGCTAGGAGCAGCAGAGGAGCTTTGGCATGAGTTGGTGATTGTTTGTGGCCGGCTCCGGTGATTGTGAGGGGTCTTGCACCTTCCCCGGTGGAGAGCCCCAAGGTAGCTCTAGTAAATTGCTCGTGTCATTGAGTTACCTCACTTGAGGTTAGGTTCTTGCGGTGTCTATGTATGTGGACGAGGTTCGTGCAATACCTCTTAGCCACCGAACCACCAAGTGTTGGTCGACACAACGAGGACTAGCGTGCCGGCAAGCACGTGAACCTCGGGAGAAAATTTGGTTGTCTCTTGCCCTTTGGTATTCTCCTGGTGATTGAATTGGTATTCATCTTATGATTGGTTCACTCCTCTATATGGCGGTATAATCACCCTACTCACTCGATTACATTCCCGCAAACTAGTTGTAGCAAGCTGTTTAGTGTAGCTAGAATTGAGAGTTTGCTTTGTAGCTTAAGATCATCTAGTGGAGCTCTTTAGTGTAGCAAGTGTGAAAGCTCTCAATGAGTAGTGACTTAGCCATTTGTGTGCCTAGCGATTATAGTAACTAGAATTGTTGGATAGGTGGCTTGCAACCCTTGTAGAGCTAGAGCAAGTTTGCATTTTGCTATTTGTCATACTAATCAAATTGCTCTAGTGATCTTGTAGATTTTTAAATAGGCTATTCACCCCCCCCCCTCTAGCCATATTAGGACCTTTCAATGGTCTTGTTTGAATCTTCACTTCATGCTTTCATATATTTCTATCATTTCTTGGATTTGATACCTGTGTTTTCATGACTTGGTGCCTAAAGTGGGTTCTGATCTGGCCTATGATGCAAAATGTGAAAAAAACTATGAGGTGGTCGCACAACCTGCTTTCCTGTTGTTATTGTTTTTCATGGATTTTTCTTGTTGGTTTTCATGATCGCCATCAAATCCATCTAAACCATCCATTCTTTTGCAACACCACTTGGATGATGACAGAGAATGGATGGCAGATGGGTTCCATGGCACCTTGATGTTTTGTTCCTACTTATTTGTAGTCTCAAACTTGTTGCTTTTCTGGACTTGTTTGCTACATGTGCAGCCACCTGTGATGAGTACTTATATGAATTGCAGCACCAAATCTAGAGCATAAGTTCTTGGGTTCAAGAATGCAAGGTATTTGAAGTACAAAAATTAAGAGACTTCAATGCATCTCGGGGAGCAGCAACTCCCCTCCCCTCTCAGCTGCTCCCTGATGACTGTTGTCAAGGTATTGCTCATGTTGATGGTAAGTCTTGCTATTGGAAAAATGTGGTAATCATCTCACTGCTTATTGTGGTGATTCGACTATGGATAAGGGTGAGCATGACTGGACAGTGCAAGTGCCATACTTAGGCCTATGATAATTAAGAAAAGATGATGGATTAACTGCCTCAGTTTTTTTGTCTAATCCATTTCTGTCAATGTTGGTTACCTTGTTACCATGTTGATGGCCTATCTGATTGTTGGATGTTCTCCATGTCGATGATATATGCTACTGGACCCTTGTTGCTGGTCTATTGCCTTGTTTTTTGTTTACATGAGACAAGGCAACTAGGATTATATGAACCATTAATTATATTTAGTCTGAGGCCACTTGATTGTCATTATTATGTAGTTCATATTGTTGTAACTGTCTTTTATATTTTTGTTTTCATAAAGGTATGTCGTGGTTCATTTGCAAATCACTTATGCATTCTCATGTTGCTTCCTGGGACATGGTGAGCCAGGACTATATCAAACATAATCTCCAATTGGTAGTTGGAGTTAGTTGGTCGTGGGCCTAGCGCCCAGAGATAAATCAAACAAAGGCCTGCTAGGGCCGGACTGTACTGATGCGTGGAATCAAACACGAGCACCTATGCTCTCTGGATCTGGCTGTGGCTGGCCTGGGCGTGGCTAACGGGCCGAGCCACCCCTGCTCTCCATGTCAAACAGGCCCATCAAAACCTCTAGAAGAACCACTGAACAAAAAGGCTAGTCCCCTGAGGCCGGAACCCCGCTCGGTACCCCTCCAAATTCGGTGTTTCATGAGATTTTTTTGTTTTGGTTTTCTTGGATTGCAGTTGTTGTACCCGGGATTGTGCCTAGTAGATGTGGCGCCCGGCTCCTACAAGATTGAAGAGGTAAAGAGGTTTCTCAATTTGTTGGTGTTTTGAAAGTTGTTTTCTTTGGTTTGGCCCTTAAGGTGCAATTTTTGTGTTTTTGCAGAGGTGATTGTTGCTTTGGTGGAGCTAGCGATGGACGGGTGTTTCCAGACTAACACGTCTGTTTCATAAGTGTTCTGTTTTCGGTGGATTAGAGGAAGTGTTCTGTTTTCGACGGATTAGAGGAAGTTGAGGTGGAATTTGCTATGATTATGTATTGGAGCGTGGTTGGGGAAGAGGTTAGCTTCTTCAGTTTGATTACTAGGCTTGTAGGATTGTTAAGGCCCTGTTCGCTTATCTTATAATCCATCTTTTTCAGCTTGTTTTTCCAGCCGGAACAATGTTTTTCTCTCACAACAAATCAGCCGGAACAGTGTTTCGGCTTGTTTTTTCAACGAAGCGAACGGGGCCTTAGGCTTCCCGCACTGTACATGGTTTAATATATGAAGCAATTTTAGTCGTTGAATTTTCGACTTTTCATTTGATCCTGGCGCTGAGATGTAACATTGCTTTGGTGTGTGGTCTGGGTTCCCTTGCTGATGATTGCTTATTTGATGAATCAAATCTGGTTTTTAATTTTGAAATTGCAAATTTTGGTTAATGTGGTAAATGTTGCCATGGATGAAGCTCTACAATGATGAACATGCAAGGCTGCAGAAATTGTTTTGGGAAAAAGGTTGTAAAACGTTTCATAGGGTTAATCCAGGGTTACAGAAAATGAGAAAAATAATCCAAGACGTCAATTGTTGATAACTGATATGGAGTCCGGTCCTAATGAACCTTCGTGGAAACAAATACGGAGTAGATACGTACACTTTAACCAAGGGGTCGGGTATGCTTGATATAGTGATATCAGCGTTTGATGATAAAGTAAAATTTCACTTGTTTAATTGTATAAACAAAATCTCAATCGCTTGTAGTTGAGCCAAGAGAGCAATACAACAACGTTTGGAAGGTGCATCTTGATTTGCTGAGAGCATCTCTAAAAATTCATTAATTCAATTTAAAAGCATTTTTATAGGAAAAAAAACAAGACTTCGACAGTATTCTAGCCGATCTCTTGTACTTCCAACAGCCAAACAGCTTCAGAGAGTGTTTTTTTGTTGCTTTTGAAAGGTCCTTAGTGCCTTGAACGAGCCATCTCCAAGAATTTCCGAAACTCGCTCTCAATTTTGATTTTTTGACAAGATTAAAAAACGCTCTCCAACAACTTCTTATATCAACTCCCATTCTTTTCGCACTTAGAAAAATCGATCTAATCACATATAAGTGTGCGTATCAATCGGTCAATTTGAAGGTAGAAATGAGTGGGGAAGAATAAGAGCAAGGACATGGTTCCCAATGCAAATTGTCAGGGCTCGCCGGTCATTCTAAATTTATTTCGCAATACCCCTTAGAAACCCCAACCCTTGACCATCACCTCCTTTTTCCTCAAAATGATCCTAGCTAATCTCTGGAAGCATCTCCCAACATCGGTTCTCGACTCATCCATGTCACAAGATCACCCCCTCCCCACCCTTTATTGCAGTAGTGAGCCTCGTCAATATGGTGTGTCTCCTCTCGGCTCGTGTTGAGCAAAATGCAACCAAAGTGTTCGTCTTCTAAAATCCTCTACACATCTCTCAACTCTAACCCTAGCAAAGAACTCTCTAAGCACAACTCTAGTCAACTCAAAGTCATTCCCATCGACTCACCTTGATCAAAAGCTCGGGAGTAAGCCTGAAACGGAATCCTAAATCCTAAGTCTCACCTACTATTAATCTACTTCCCTTAAGGAATGGTCATCACCAATACACAATCCTACACTTCAATTGAGGAAATCAGAGTTTTCAGTGTTCCTTCAATCCATCCAGACCTGCCTACCGGACTGTCCTATGGGACAAGTCAAACCCTAGTTGACTGGTCAACATGGCGGATCAAGTCAAACCCTAGTTGACTGTTTTCGTTATGTTATTTTTCTCTCAAGCACCTTGATACATTGCATGCAATTTTCAAGATGCTCAGTGGGCTACAGTGTATACCCTTAGTGAGGTCTCGATGTCCAAAGTTAATTTCTTGAAACAAGTAGTGATGAAACGTTGAGCTGACTTTGTTAATCACCCCCATTTAATTAGAGCATGACCCTTAATCAGTCAGAGGTTACGACGGGTCTGCAGGAAGTTGAAACTTGATCGAGATAAGAAGCCGGGGATTAAAAAACGTAAAGAAAGACATAGCATGTAGTTATAATCTTAAAATTGTTTTAAGTACTTTTATGACACATGTTGTGCGTAATGAACTTTACTCACAACCTTAAAAACAAAATGTTCCAACTTAAGAAGAAACATATAAAAACATGTTCTAACTTTGTAAAGAAAATCTTCTAGCTTCGTAAGAAAATTTTCCAGTTTCATTACCAAAATGTAATTTTCCAATTTCATTACCGAGATGTTTCATGTTTAGGAGAAATTTGTTGTAGCATACAGAGAAAGTTTGTTCCAACGTCATGAGGAAAACATTTCAACATCACCAGAAAAATGCTACAGACTGGGACAAAAATACTTATGGTATATTTATGCAGAATAAAAATATTATAAAATGAATCAGAACAAAAATTTAAATAGACCAATAACAGATTTTACCCTAGGCTAGTGATATAAAAGAGAAAATCTTCACGGGTGAATCTGAAAAAATAGAGATAATTATTAGTTACAATTTATGATAATGATGAAAACAGTTGGTAGCAAAATAAAAACAGAGAAAAAAAAAGAACAACCATGGCATGAGCATTGGGCCGCTTTCTCTGGTGAACGAGCCTACACATTCGCGTGCACCTGAAGAAAAGAGAGAGAGAGAGAGAGAGAAATCGGTCCAGTAACGCGCGCGGAGAAGCAAGCTGTAAACAGCACAGGAAGAACTGCTCTCCTTTGTTCACACTTCACACCTGTTTGCTGTTTTTCTTCTCCTGTTCACCTTCGCGTGCGCGACAATTAGGGCGACCGCCGACGAGAACCCATGTCTTCGTCGGGCCCTTCGCCGGCGACGGGAACCCACCACACCAGGCATGCCCGCCCCTTCTCTTCCCTTCTTGCTGTGCAAAATTGAGCACCCGAACCCTAACTTGCGCTATTTGTATCTGGATCTGATCTAATCAGAAGTGTATACATTCGATTTTTTTTATCGATCCATGTCCTTTATTGGTCCGCTCCTGATTCTAGGTGATCTGGCAATATGGTACTTGCAAGTTACAAGTTAGCATTTGCTCCAACTGTCTACTAACTTATTCCGTGGCCATCACAAATTGATCTAAATTTCTGATTGTTGGTATCAATATCAGGTATCCAGTGGTTGTCCATGTCCTACACTAAGTATTGACTTTTGACTCCCAAAATGTGCACTAGTTTTATGCTGTTAAATGGTAATATTCGTGGCCATAATTTCTAGCCCGTTTGATGTGAGAGCAATGTGAGAAATGTGAGCTTGAGCAAGATGTGCATCTGCTTGATTTGTACTCTTTCTACCTTTCATTTGTATATTTATTTCCCTTACTATCATATTCACGTCAAACCTTTTTCTAGCTTGTCTTTCCAAATATATGTACCAATCAGTTTGCTGGCTACTTTTTGTTGACAAAACTGCTGTGTTTTGCCTTTTGCAGGTCAACACCATTGCAAGTAATTCATATTTTGGGAAACTTTATGAGAATTTGGTCTGTTTACTCCTTGTATAGCCACCTATCCAACGGTGGAGATTCAATAGTTGGCTTTATCTTCAGTTGTCTTGTACCCACTTCAATCATATTCTTGGTCCTACAGAAGCCTTGGAAAGGCCGGCCTTTGCCCAACTCACAGGTTTCATTATACCATCTTTTTCTTGAGATTACTTCACCAGCTATTAGATGTGCACTTTCTTATATTCATTCTTTTAGGTTGTTCCTACAGTTGTCAATGGAGGAATCCTGGCATTCTACTTTGTGTTATGGGGTAAAGGACTTCTTGCTTGTGGACCACTAGTGTAAGTATCCTGTTCTCTCAGCACCATGAATTTTTCACATAGCTGCATGGTCTGTGGTGCGGTGCATTTATGCCAGGGAATATCTAGTTCAATCTCCACCTATGTGCAATGTTTAAACCATGCTGCAAGCCAGTGGTCATCAGATCATTATGGTAACAAATTACACTTGATGGACGTCAACCGTAGGACATTTCTCTGGCGTCCTTACCTGTTGACCTAACACATGATAGTCATTGTGACTTGAGTACTTGCATGACTTTTTTTTTTTTTGGGGGACTTACTCTCCTAGGGGTGCGCAATCTGATTCTGACCACTTAAATTGCAGAACAGCATTTCTATTATCATTAACCACATCATCTGCATATTTTTGCACTTCTTTGAGCATCCTAACTGTGTTACTAAAGAAGCATTTACTGGCACTTCCATCTAAATTGCATTTTACTCTGTCTATTGAGTCTAGTGCTCTACTGGCAGAGTATGCAGGTGCTGTTCTTGGAGTTCTCTCTGCTGCTTTATATGGAAGGAAAGTTAACATCTGGAAAAAGGCAAGTTGCTGATTTTAAATAGAATTTGTTTTATATGATGATTTGGTTCCTTGTTATATGTGTGTTCTATGATACTTTTTTGAACTTTTGTTCTATGACATTTACTTATTTAGGCAACAAGCATAAGGAATTATTGCTCGCACGTGGCACTCTAACCTTAAGTATTGTCTAATCACTGTTTTTTTTAGTTCATTTGATATGTACCAATGCCTTTTTCTTTTAGTAAATATCGTGTGCATATGCACTTGTAAAGATATTTGGCCAATAACTGTACAAGGAATGTTGTTGTCAGCAGTCCATTTTGCTTGGAAGTTATGAGCCCCTCATCCTTAAAAGTCTAACGTGGTTTAGAACTGTTATTGATTTGATGAGCTTTAAGCACAAAATAACTGTGCACATGTTGCCCTTGCACCACGTGTGCATGTTTTTCAGAAAATTTATACATTCAGCAACTATGATAGCTGGACAAATAATTAAGGAATTCTTCTATATGATGATCCTTCTGCATGTCAACTCTTCAATGTGTTCTACCATGTTCAGCAGACTTTCAACAAACTCTAGTATTTTGAAGTAGAAATTGCTAATTTTCTAGGAGATGATATTAACTGTTTCCCCTGAATTTTTAGATTGGTGGACTTGCTGCTATGCTGGTAGCATATTATCTCTTGTCAAATGGATGGTCTACAAGAACACATTCTCCTTTATGTATCCTACTAGATAGATGTCTTCCTGAAATGATTTACTGAGTTATTGTGAATAACTCTGCATTTTTGGCAGTTAAAGTATCTCTACCTATAAATTAATTTGTAATGGACTCATCTAAATCCGTTTTGGAAGACCTTAACTTCATACAGATAGCTTCGGAAGTGAACCAGTGGAGAAGGCAAGACAAAATATTGGAGTGAAAGAAATGGTGGTGCCAATTACCGCTGGGATCTTATCTGCTTTGAGGAGAGTATTAGCTCGGCGTGTTTCTCTCAAGGTAGCTTCTGTGGTATTCTCTGTCAAAAAACTCCTTCAAGACACTATCAACGCACCATCATTTTCTATATAGGAATTGACAGTCACCATTGTTTTATTCTACAGAATCAACTTAAAAGGCGGCTCCATGCTATAACTATTGCTTCTGCTACTTGTTTTCTTTTTCCGTTTGCCATGTGGGATACAATCCTAGTGAGTACTCTCTCTTTATGCTCCAATTATTTCTGGGGTTGGGAGGATTTGCAGGTCTTTCCTTGATATAGTAGTATAATGATTTTTTGTTTTCTTGATTGCAGGGCTCGGCATCTGACAGCATAGTTAAATTTCAACTACCAAGTTGGGCATACTTGAGTACTGTTTTGTTTGGAATGGTGCTTATATTCTATGTTGACAATGTTGCTGAAGAAAAGTAAGATCTTTTCTTGGAAGGAAAGCTTTTTTTTTTTGTTAAAAGCTAATTTTAAAATGTTCTCATGCATCATCAGTTGGTAAAGCGAACCATGAGCACTTGTTTTGTTATGGTTTTGAATGTGATTCTCTGTATGCACAGATAGTGTTAGTACTACAGAGTGCATACCAGTAGTAGTGCCAGTTTTGCAGGGACTAAATAGCTATGGTAGAGATGACCATTATTAATCTGATAGAGTATGATTTTCAAATGTTGGATGGCTGGCATTGGTAGGCAAACAAGGAAAAGGCATGTTCTGAAGTCTTCATAATCTGAGCCAGCGAACGAGCCTCTAGTTGAGCTGGTTGGGTGGTTCTAGTAGCACTCAGGTCCTGGGTTCGACTCCTTGTGGAAACGAATTTCAGGTTGGGGATAAAAAATCCCCTCATATGTCCCCATGCCAAAGCACAGGTCTAAGGTCCGGCTCAGAGGTCGTGGTTGTTCTCACAGGGCTACGGTGCCACTGTGTAGAATGGGGGGTCTTCATACTGGGCTGGTCTTCCCCCCAGGGTCGAGTTTTTTTACCAGTCCGAGCCAGATCTTCAGGAGATTATAGATTTGAAGTTATTATTCCTCAAATATCTTCATGTATAACAATATGAAACATCACTTTTCTTTTCTTGGATGCTTCTTGAAGTATTTTTATTGACCTTTATCCTATTAATCATAACTCATAAGACATGAATGGCCTCCCTTTAGTTAACTGCCCATTGTGCTTCATGAATCATGATCAACCTTCGGTCCATGTTTGTAATTCGTTTACTTGGTTGGCAGGTTGCATCTGGTCTTCTCTTCTCCAAGGCACTTAATGGTTTCAACAGGTTGCATCATCGTGTTGGAGATAGTGTACCAAATGGATTTCTCCCTTTTAGGATTTCTGGTCTGTTCTGTTATTTTGGGATTCGGTGAGTTTTGAGGTCTTATTCTTTGTATCCATGATTGGATTCTAAAATTACTCTCTCAACTGTACTGATAGGACAGTTGGAAAACCTTTTCTCCATGTCCTGAACATTTCATATCCAAAATGAGCATTGTTATCCTTTTGTAGGTATTTTTGAAGCAACCTCCTTGGATCGCTCAAAGAAAAGCCCTTTAGAGACCCATGAACTATCGAATGGGGTGTTCCACAATCAATTGCCGATTTCAGAACTTCCAAGCTGAAGAATATATGACCTGGGTGAGTGAGATGCATTGAAAAAATTGTGTGTTTACTTGATTATGAATTATGAATTTTGAATTACTTACTGTTAAGGTTGAGATTGCGGTAAAGTTAATATTAGATAACATGTTTCAAGAGTGGGTCTGTTACGGTTTGAGTAGTAACGTGGTATCGATTGTGGTAGGATATTAAAGGTCTTTATATCTCCCTTACATGTTTATATAGTCCCTCAACTAACAGACTTTAACCCCCTTTTTCCTATTCTTGTACCCCAGCTACGACATGGTGAATGGCCGCAGTTGCACACCTCAAAATCAGTGGTTCGATTCTTTGTGAAGGTTTTGAACCAGACAGAAAGCACGGATGTTTTTGACCTGCCAATGTGTCTTTGTGATCCTCCATTCTTGTTGGCCACCTGCATTCTGTACATGTCAACAACTCCCAGTATATTGCAATTGTCGCAGCATCCTGTCTCCCTGATTCGGTAGTTGCGAAATTTTGCTTTTCTCGGTTTGCGAGGCAGATGGTTCAAGCTGTGACTCTGACCGAAGTGCATTGATTGTTTTTTTTTCAAACACGGAAACATGTAAGTATGTAACCCGCCCATGATATGATTAACATGCTGACTTTATCTTTGACCTGTCCATGAATGCAATCAGCGAGTCTCCTGCATGCTGCAGGCCTTCATCGCCGTTCATGTCAGTCCCTGTGCTAGCTCAACGCCACAGAAAAAAGAGGTCATCCGTTTAATCAGGGCTTAAATAGCTTTGGGTTCACCTGCACCGATCATATTCACATGAGCTCTTTCTTCTCTCCTTCAAATGAACTAGAAGCAAGTAAGTGAAACTAGCCCTTTTTTCTGTTTTACTCTTCTTGCTACACTGTAGCAATAAGCTAAAACTGTTTGAAGCTTTGCCAAATAGGACTTTAAACCATTTGATCTGCTGGTTGTAAAGGAGTCATGACAGAGTACATCAATGACTGGGCCGAAATGACATGTGTATCTATTTCTAGACTGGTGGCATTCTGGATGGGTCGGTCAGATGCCCGGTTTCACCAAATCACAGTCCAGAGAGCATTCCTCGTACGGGCCGATGTAACGCACGTATTCAGGCCAGGGGCTTCGCTAGCCCATATAGCATGTGGAGCGGGTTCACGGGACGGAAAGCCGGTTTTGCCTCCTCGCGAAAGCAACTCTACGAGTCTTTTTATATTTTATTAATAGAGATTTTATTTTTGCTCAAAAAAATTAATAGAGATTTTATTAAAAAAATTATCTTCAACATACTCTTTAATTAGATATCTAGATATATACATTTTCTATTCTGGATTTTTGGCTAGTCAAAGAAGGAGGGCGAGGATGATTTTCTAGAATACGCACAAGATATAAAAAACTATTAAAAGCGATTTTTACTCAAAAAACTCTCTAAATGATGATTTGTAAAGTAAATTTTAGAAAAACTATTAGAGATGCTCGGAGTCTAAGTTTTCTTACTCAACTCTAGAAGTGATAATATCTTTAACCTTTTGAAATTCTGAGAAAAACCAGGGGATACATTACAAGAAACCAAAATAAAATATTTATAGCTAGTGAAAATTAAAAGCTTTCATAAATGAGATTTAGCTCTATAAAATGCAAAAAAAATCAAGAAAAATATTTTTAAAATCGCAAAACATTATAACCAATTTCTAGATGTGTTTTAAATTTTTTCCACAATTAAAATATGAGATGCAATTAATATGATGCAACATACATTAATGATGAATGCATTCATGATGGTTGCATCTTGTGTTTTTTTAGAAAGTGTTTTGAAACGCATTTAAACATTGATTAGAAGGTCCAGATTTTTCTAAATCTTTCTAGTTTTCTAGAGCTAAATCTAATTTCTAGAAGCTTCTAGATATATTTTCACAATCTTTAAATATTTTATTTGGGTTCTTTTGTTTCCCAATTCTATCTCTAGGATTCCCCTCGTGATTTTTGGAAGCTTATTAGAGATTGATTTAAAATCCTTATCAAGTCTTTATGTATTTAATAACATTTGAAAATGATGAAAACTGCATTTAAAATCACTTCTAATTTGGACAGTGAGGTAATTTAATTGGGACAGGCGCGGTCAGAATAAGCACGACACTGGACACAATCACCGTTCAATGTGAAAAAGAGAAGAAAAACAAATCAGTTACTCCAATATCTCGACAAACAAGCGTGAATACACACCACAGACGCATGCAGATCGCCCTGCCTCGCGGTCAGTAGTGACAGACCCAAGTAGTCCGACCTCGGGCGCGGTTGCCGCACAACACCAACCAAAAGTCGATGGCGATCCATCATCCCTGCGCGTTTTCCCGCGTGCAGCCTCACCCCAGGCGCGAGCCGGAGGTCGGCACACGACCGGGGCGCCCGCCGACGTACGGCAGCTGACAGAGCTGAGAAGAACCGAGAGAAAAAGCCCCGACGCCCGACAGCGAAACGCCCGCACTTGTAGACGACCTCTTGGCACGGAAGCGTAATGCGCGTGCACCGCTACTGCTACTCCGCTACCTCTCTCGGCGTTCTCTTGTGCTAGCTAGAGCTAGCTTTTGGCTCGCCGTCATGCGGGGACCGGCAATCGTCACGTCGAGCGGCTTCGTGCGGGCCCATCAGGAGCCGTCCCCGTCAGCGAGGATCGGAATTTGGAAGACTGAAGAGAGTCGGTTTTGCTTATATCCTCAGCCGACCTCGGTTTTCCTGACCTGTGATGAGGTTTACAGAACTGAGGACGGAAAGAGCGCATATCATGGCCAGTTGGATGTGAGGGCCGAAAGTGTGTCATTTTCACTGTTTAGCAAGAGTATAGTAGCACCGAAAGTGTACGTGGGCATATACATACTCGCAAGGTCGTTAGCACTATAATTTCTTTCTGATTTCGGGAGCGTGTAGTAGCAAATAATAACATGAATTACTGACCACGCAAATATGATGCATGGGCAAATATCCCGACAAGGATGGAGTTACTCAGACATGGAGGAGGTGTATGCATGCATGCTTGCAAGCAATATATCGGCAGCAAACTTGCTCCCATGACGCGGGCTAATCACTTGTGACCCACAGTACCCGCTTGCTTTTCACATCCACCATAAACATCAAGGAGGAAAAGAAAAGGCAATGGCCGATCAGTTTCCCTAGGATCGAGAGTAATAGAGAGATAGCGACCGCGAAGGAAAAACCGCGTCACCTCTCTCTCGCGCCCATCGCCGGTCGCCGTCGCCGCTCGCACCGGCCAGCCGCGCGCGTGCTCTCGCCGCCCGGCCGGTCGCGGTCGTGGCTCCAATGCAAGTCCGCTGGCCACCCGGCCACCACGCACCATGCCACGCTCCTCGCGTCGCATCGTTCTGAAACCAGGCTCGATCGCGCGACGTCGTGGTTAACTGCGGCTCGCGGTCTATTTACTGGCCTTGCAAGGTAAGAATATGGCGATGGATGGATGTGGACGTGATCATGGTCGGCAGCCCAGTATGGATAGATCTGAATCTATCACATGTAACTGTCGGTTGCTTTCAAAAAACAGGTAACTGTCGGTGTGGCTAGTTAGCTTGCAGCAATGTGAGACCGGAGAAACATAGCAATGCTCATTGGACATTGCCACCGGCAACGACCTCCCGATCGATCGGCATCACCAGGGACGACGACGGTTAGCTAGCGCGGTGCACCGATGGTCTCTGCGTGTCGCCCTCTCCGGTGACGACCGACGCGCTTTGCTGAGTACTGCCGTCATGGACTGGTATGGGTGGTCGGTCAGATTAAGGTATCGGTGGACGGTGGTGACTAGATTGGGCACCAACCGTGCTACCGTCATTTGGATGGAATGGAAGATTCTCAAGAAATAGAGAGACTCACTTTACTGCCTTTATGGAGAACTTGACAAGATTGAGTACGTTGGTCAGAGTTCACAACACATGGACTTAACATAATACTATAAGATTTCAGTTCCTCGTCGATCGTCGATCGTGACGGGAGAGTGTGAGGTGAGTGTCAACTGCAAGCTTCCCTTAATTACCCTAAAGTAGCTAGCTCGATCTAAACTGTTTCAGTCAGAAAAGAAACATTATCTTGGTGGACAGAAAACGAAGAACAGGCGAAAAGAATCTAAGCTGATCTAAGTAAGTATAACACATGCAGTACGTGTAGGCATTTTTAGTACTACTAGTATTCTCTTCCTTTAGTCAACATTGCAAATTGCATACTGCAAAACCCACGATATAGAATAGTATACTACATTATTTTTTGGTCAGTTTCTGTAGGGCAAGAAAGGAACAACAAGATATATTCTTATTGCTCTATAATCTACTACTACAACGCATTCTTCGAAGTTCAGTTCCGAAACGTACTGCTTGCCTCCCAGTACTACTATATATTTAGATACAATGAATGAACATACTCTTACAAAAGACCAGGCTGGATCCAAGTTCTTTACTGCCTGCCAATACCAATACCAATACCAATACCAATACTGAAAAGGCAGCACTAGCACATCATTGATCTTCGGAGGGAGGAGAAGCATCTAGGTACTAAGTATGCTAGCTAGTGGAGTAGTTAATCGCATCTGCTGTGTCTCAATGCGTACGCAACACACGGGGAGCAAAGCTGAATTCCTGTCCGGCCGTGACGGGGTGCAGGGGGAGCAAGCAAGGAGCAAGGCGAGGAGGAGCAGGGCTAACATACCAGGTGAGCAGGCGCCAAATTTAAAACTCATCAGCTGCTCGTCTAGGTCCGCTCCATGCATGCACCACCACGATCAGCCCCTGACCCCCTGCAGAGCTCAAGTGGGATTAAATCTAGCGCGGCCGCAGCGGAGGGGAGAATCAGAGATCATGCGCCGAGGCGGGGCGGCATTTCGGCGCTAAATATTTGGTTGCCACTTGGAGTGGACGAAATGGATTGTTTATACGTGCTAAATCCAGGATGAAATGAACTCGTGAAATGGCGACCAGAAAGAAGGATCCAAAGATGTTAGGAAGG